GGCTCTGGGGTGACGCGCGGGTTCCTTCCTGAGGGGGCACGGGACGACCCCAGCCCCACATCGCCACCAGGCCCCACCTTCTCCGCGCCCGGCGGCTAAAAATACTCCCCACAGGTAGCAACGCCCGGCGATTGGCTGCCTTCTCTAGCGGCCATCGCTGATTGGCCAGCGGTGCTGGGGGGCGGAGCCAGGCCGGGTTTTGGGGGACCAAGGGTGAGCGACGGCCGCGGCGGGCGGGGAGTGGCTGTGTGTTGGAAGCGTTGGGGGCCTGCTCCTTGTGCGAGATTCGGGGGGTTCCGGGGCCTCCAGGGGCCCTGGAGTGTGAACTGGAACACTGGAGTGTTTTGAGTATTCCTTAAAGCATCCCCCGGATTTGCTCTTAAACACTGCTCGGGGTGTTCAGGCTTGGCTCTGGGGCGGTTTCCCTCCCACCGCCAGCAGGACCCTGCTCTGGAGGACGAATTGTGAAGGGATATATATATATTATATATATATATAATATATATGTATATTTCTCTGTCTCTTGCTCTGTTTGTATACTAATGAAGCATTCTGGCGTAAGTGCTCCACGGGCCCTGGGAGAGATTTGGAAATGCCAATTAGAAGAAATGCCAAGACTCTTAACCCTTTGGAGAGACTATATATATGAGAATATAAGCTTAAAATATTAAGGGAAAGAAGAGAGTAATATTTAGGATTTCCACAGCTTAACATTTCTGATGGAATTCACTGTAAAACAGTTTTTATTCAGATGTGTCAGTGCTGATGCTGTTGGGATTGTGGTATTACAAACAACTTGAAAATCTTGATTAAGACCCAAAATATATACAATTCCCCCCTTTATTTATCACCCATTTTTAAATCTAGAGGGTTGAACATGCCTTCAGTGAAAACTGGGCCACTTGTCACTATGCACCCCAAATGGAAAATAAAGTGTGAAATGATAACTTTACAAGCACTGGCAACTAGGAGACTACTGGGAACTGCTGTAGCATCTCTGGGAATCTGAAAGAGAGTCCTGGGTATTTGTTTTGATCAAAAAGAGACAAAGTGAAACAACTCCCTGCACAGAGAAGGTGAAAAGACAAATAGAGGGGGTTGTTTTGGTTTGGTTTGGTTTTGATATTAGAGCTCAGGAGTCTCTGTGGAACAACAAACACATGCTGGCAGGTGACATCAGCTACTGGTGATGGTTCAGCTCTCGCTGTGCTCAGTTCTGGGGTGGCAGCAGCAGATTTCCCTTTGAAGTGGGAGAAACAGCACACTGCCTCAGATCACTATTTTCAGGTGAGATTTCATGAAGAGCTTTACAAACCCGGTAACTGCTGCTGAGCTGCTAAAAAAAGCCAGGTTTTAAAAGCAGAGACTTTCTTTTAAATGGCTTTAGTGTTACATGATAAGTATTAGAAGCATGAATTAAATGTACAGAGCTAAGACATTGTTAATCAAGGCAGTCATGGGATCCTTTAAAGCTGTAAAAATCGGGATGTGCTTTTCTGAGGCTGATGGAAAGGAAGCTTCTCATGCAGTTAGTCCATGCTTTAGAAAAATTTAGTGTTAAATGCAACTAGACCAATTTTTATGTCCCTCTCACCCCAAACCATTCTATGATTCTAAATATTAATGATGGGTCATTGGCCCAGGAGTAACCTTTGAGGATCAACCCCACTTCTAGTGTTCCAGTGAAAGTTTCAATTTATCCTTGTTTGTCTGAAGAAATAGCTTTTAAACTGCAGTGATCACAGTGTAGTCCATACACAGCATGTCAGAGGTAGGTGGCCAAACTGTAGTAGTGTTAAATTATTAACACCTAAACCCAGAGTTTAATCCAGGATCATTTGTATTCTTAAAACCTCAACTGGCTTTTTGATCCACAAGGGTCAGATTAGGGCCTGCAGTATTTTTCAGCCCCTTTGATTAATATACAGCAATAACAGAATGTCTGCCTGCTAGAAAAATCTTTAAAAATGCAATCAATACAAAATAACCCCAGCAGCAAAATTTTGCTCATGTTGCCAGTTCTATTCAGCTGGAAGATTAATCTTAAAAGAAAAGAAAAACTATATATTCTCATCTTTTCTGACAGACCTTGACAAGTCTTCTCCCCAGCAGAGCAAATCAACACAAGTATTTCAGAGCAGGGAAGGAGGCAGGAATGAGATTAGAAGTAGGAAGACTTTCTTAATCTATATTAAATAAGAAGGGTTTGATCTCATGCCCTGCTCATAGCCAGATCCTGCAATGCTGGCCAGCAGCAGCCATCAGCAGCTGAACTACAATTTCCGTAGTCTCTGCAGAATAATCTCTAAAATCTCTGCATTGTAGAACAACTACATTACCATAAAACCTTGCCGAGACTGCACAGACTTGACAAAGAGACCTTCTTTTCTGCTAAAGAAAGCTAAATCTGATTCCTCAAATAATAACTAGCACTCTTTAAAAATCTAAATTAGTATTGCTTATTGATCAACACTGTGTCCAAATCCAGAATACTGTTTGTTAATCTTAAAATTTGTTTAAAGCAATCATATATAACCAAGACATTTTTTACTAATTATGTCAACGAGGACAAGAATTTTAAAGCTGCAGGAAGACAGGCTCAGAATTTCTACCACCCATGCTTTTCATAGAATCGTTTTCTCTGCTAAATGAATGTTGCTGTACAGAATATATAAGATTTATCCTGACGGTGGACATGGAGTTTTGTATCATACATTCCTTAATAGAGTGCAGACTCTTTTTTAACATTTTCTTATTTAGGATAACAATTCTCCCTTTAGCGTGGGAGCCTGGGCTTTGATCTTGAAAAAATGGAAAGCTTTCCCCATTGTATTCATCCCTCTCTAGCCTGATTTTATCAATTTGCTGATTTTAACATGTGTTCCTTTTCCCCACCATCTATCAGTGTGAGCAACCAGGCCTGGCTGCTCTCCAGCAGATTTCTTAGCACTGAGTTTGAAATGGAATGTATATTCTCTTTCATTTCACTTTACCAGCAATGATTTTTCTGTAAATACTGATTAGAAGGGGGGTCTGGATCTATCAGGTGTTGCCCAGTACCAGGAGCTTTCCGACCACAAAGGTTTTTTGAGGTAGGAAACCACTAAATCACCTTGTAAGTGACATTTCAATGGCATAAGAAATAAGCAGGAGCAGAATTCAGGCAAAACAGCCAGGTCACCTTCTAGGAGAGCCCCAGTCTTGTCTGTAATCCTGTGAAGGTGTACGTGTTGGTTCCCAGCGATGGAGAGCAGCTGTCAGGCAGTGGCTGGCACAGCTCAAGCTGCCAAGGAAGTGCACATGGCAGAATGTGTGCCATGACTCTGTGCAACCTCCTGCCCCAGGGCAAACAGCCCAAGCTGTGCCTGGGCTTGGCCCTCTGCTGCTCAGGGGGCTGAAGAGTGGGAGTTGGGTCCTGGGAACGTGCAGGGAAGGGATGGAGGCAGGAGGACCTGGCAGTGTCTGTTGGTTTGGGCAGAGGTACAGTTGTGACAGAGGGGGAAGAACAGCCCTTGAAGAGGAAGGAGGGAAATATTGCAGTTAAAGGGAGAATGGAGGACAGAGGGTGCAGTACTGATGGGCTGAGAACAGCCCAGCATTGATCACCCCATCCTGGAGACCCTGGAATTTTGGGTATCAATTCCTGTGGGATGCTCTGGGTCTGGTCTGCCCCACAGCTTAGCTGGGAAAGCAAATCCAAAACACCAGCAACAGGACTTGTTCTGCTGTTCCAGTGTGTGTGATGTTAGTGTCTCTGGTGACGCCAATATTTTTGAAAGTTGGCTACCAAGAGCTGGAGCTTGAGTGCCATAGACTGAAGGGCAGGTTCCAAATCTGGGTATCTACAGCTTTTTGTAGGGAGTATACTGAAAAAAAATCTTCTAAGTTGGTACTTAGATATTAGTTACTCATCTTAATAAAAAAAAAAAACTCTCTATATGAGTATATATGTGCATATATATGTAATTTTTCTCTCTATATATGCAATTTTTCTGGGCCAACAGTAGAAGGAACTGATCTGCAGGAGATTAGAGCTCAGAGCTCACAAGGACATCACTCCCTCTTAAGTGGAATGCTACCAATGATATAGATTACCTGGAAAAAGTTGATCAAGTCACAGAAAGCAGTTGCTGGATAAGAAGGAGAAATAAAACCAGGAGAAATAAAGATTTTGCACCAAAGTTGTTTCTTCCCAAAGTTTCATCCACCTTCAAAGATGAAACTTCAAGTGAAAATGTGGGTTGTTGTTTTGTCAGAAGATGGTATAAGGTAGGATCTGTTCCTGAAGATAAGCCTGATAAGCAACATTTTCAGAATGGGGTACAGATTCTGAGAAGGCCAGTAAAAAAAAATGAAATGAGGAGTAAGTAATCTAAAACTGCTGTAAAAAGTAATGGTCAGTAGTAGGTAGAAACTGTAACAGGAAGGGGAGGGAATGGGAAATATTTTATAAGCATCAGAATTTCCTACAGCTGTGGATAAATGGGCTGAAGGAGGAAGAAGGAAGATTGATTTAATACATTAAAGAGGTTGACCTTTGAAGAAATTTTTATTAAAATTCAATATAATTTTTTCCTCTAGTTCACCTTTGTGCTGGGATCCTGCCAGTTTGTCAGTTAGCTGTGCAGTATCTGTTAATAGATAAAATTATGGGGTGAGGACCTGATAGACATGATAGCTGATAGCCACAGAACTTCTAAGTTAATCAGCTTCAAGTGCTTTACTATGCTCATTCCAAACAGTGATTCATAAACAGTTCCAAAGAGACAGAAAGCTGCTTTTTAAATTGTCAATACTTTCATGGGGATCAAAAATAAACACTGAAGATGAAGGGCTGATCTTTTGCCCTTTCAGTTTCTGAATAGATGAAGGTAGCTTGAAAACATCTCACTAGGAATTTACTTAATAATTTAGTGTACTTAGCATTTTCCAGGAAGGCAAGTAAATCTTTATTTTCCTGAAAAAGGAATTCCAAGAAAACCATTCAGTCTTATTCAAGAGAGATACTGAATGTGAAAGAAATAGATAATGAATGGGGGAAAAAGTCAGTACAAAGAAATGGCTTTCATTCAGTCCATTTAAACTGAAAGAAGGAGGAATGGAGATATGACTGTTTACCATAACAGTCCAATAAACACAAAAATTCTGCCACTTTTTTTGACATTCTGATCATCATCAGCTAGGGTAAAAAAATTACCAGTGGTCTCTTTTTGAAATAAATGGAAACTCAACTTTATTTAGGCAGAGATCCAACCAATACCACCTTTCCTGACTAACCACAGTGTTCTCTAAGCCAAATCTGCACTCTTTGGCTCTCCCAGCAATGCTTTTTGTTTACTTAGGAAGGATCAGTGAAGCCTTCACTATTTTCTAGTTCTTCAACAAAGTGATGTAGATGCACCTTGAATGAGAAGGAGAGGAAGGATGTTTCCCTGCACTGTCAATTTATTATCAGGACTGGAAGGTGCCTCAATTTTTTGCAATAAAACCCAGAAGAAAATATAATTTTAACATCCCCAAAAGATCTCCCTTGGTTCTTGCCTAAGAACTTAAAACAGTCAAGAACAGTGCAGCTCAGTAGGAAGCCATCCATATTTTAAGCTTTCAGGCAACCCCTTTTCTCTGGAGCATGTGGCTGTTGACTGGGTTTCATATGCCTTTCTGCATACTATTCCTATCAGTAACTGTTTTATTCTGAGCCCAGGACTTGGAGAGTTTAATTAGTGACTACCAGGTGTCAGGCAGAATATCACCTTTAGGAAAGGCACTGGTTAGAGGTGTTGATGCTAGGTCTGGAGGCAGTCTGATTTGAGAAGTGCTGAGTTAACCTGCTGTGCTATCATGCTATGACTGTGTGAGTGATGGTGACTTCAAAGTAAATGAGTTCAAATGAGTCTTGTTAAGTCTGAAAATCATCTTCATGAGAAGATCATTAAAACTATCTTAATTTAAAAGGAAACCAAACAAAAACCAACAAGGGTGTTTCCCAGATAAACAGGGACCTAGTATTAGTGCAGATAAGAAGAGTTGAGTGGAAAGATGTCTGGATATGACAGCTGAAGGTTTGACCCTGAATCTTTAAGGGTATTATAATAATCTATATTATCCATAGGGGGAAAAAAGCCAATGGAAATTTCACTTTAATCTTGCTGTGCTACAGATCTGGTCCTTACTCAGCTCCGATTAAAGTCTATTGAGTCACAGAGACAGGAGCAATGGAAGGGAATGAAGATTCAAACTGTGTGTTTGCTTCTGAGACATACAAAATGGATTTTACACAGTTTGTGCATCCTGTTCATGTAAGGAGAAGTTCATGGGAGACTCAGTCCAAATAGTAAATCACTCATTTCCTCTCCAACTTCTGATTCCTAAAAGAGTAATTCCCAACATAAGTGCCTTAAAAGATTAAGCAAAAAGTCATATTAGCTTAACATCCTTCCCAAACTGATGTCAAAATGCTGCATAAAACCACACTTTGAAGTCCCCCAGGACAGTGCTCATGGGACTTGTCAATAACACAATTTCACAGAGATTCTTCTGTTTCACAGGTCATAGCTCTTTACCACGTAATGGATAGATCACCCCCATATATACCTACATGTATATGACCCACTTCATTAGAACAGAATGTTTTCTCTAGAACACAGAACCCAGTAGGAGCCATTATCTCATGTGCTATTATTTATGCAAAGACTTCAGACAGCTCCTGCACACAGCAGTGGATCTGTGCAGTCTCAAGAGCAGCTGTAACAAAGATCTGCAGAAGCAGGGATAAAACAGCCATGTCACACAATTACATTGAGTTTGGAAATGGGAAGAAGAGATTTTTTTTCTTGATCCCACATGACGATTATCTTGCATGCTGGGAAATGAGCACTCAGAGTGACATACTTTTTATTGTAGCTAATGGAACTCAGATTTGTAAAGAAAGTGATTCTACTGTGTGACCATATTATCTAAATTGCTTTGTCGCCAACGCATAAAAAACTGAATATAAAATTGCCTGAGCATAATTGAGTGCTGACTCACCCCCCGATTAGGGTAAATGGTGCAGTGTTCCAGGGTGCCTTGGAGCTTTCTATAGTCTCACAATCCTATGTGAAATCTCCTGATTGATTTTTTTCCTCCTCCAAGCAAACTTATGTTTCATGATCCTATTTGAGGCTAGATGCTACAAATCCAGCTGCTGTCACAAGACATCTTCCCCCTGCTTTGTTATCTTGATCAATTTCCTGCTGAAACCCTCATCTTTCATCCCGGCTGCTGCAGTTGCCTCCCTTGTGATTATTCCAACTCCTGGCTCTCCATATTCATAGCCATTCTCTGAGCTCCAACTCTAACTCTCCAGTTTCTAAGGCTACATAGTGAGGATGTTTTCTCACAAAGAGCTTTTCCATAAATTCTCACAATTTCATTTCAGTCTAACCCAAGGCTGCAAACACACCTGACGCTGCTCGGAACAGACTTTTATTAAAAGTACCTGCATACATGACCAAGATAATGCAGACCTAAGTATTTTAAATGGATTTTTTTAAATCTTGAAAATAACCTCTTACTCATTTGGAGGTATAAATGTGTGATTATGCTTAAAACCAGAAGAATTCTCAGGTTTTGAAATTTAAGTGTAATAAGGGCAATTGTAAGAGGCAATGCCAGAGACCCGAGGTGAACTGAGCCATGGATACTGGGAAGAGAGCTCAGATTTAGCTGACTGTGGCAGTAAATCAAACCAGCACTTGTGCCTTGGATGATCTCTGTTTCAACACTCCCTCAGGTAGTGAAAAGAAAGAGCAGAAGAAGGGCTATGACCTAAATGAATTACAGCAAAAAAGATCTTTTGCAAAGCCTCCCACCTATGAGGATTTGCAAAAGATGCCAGCCCAGAGCTGGAGGATCTGCAAATGAAACCAGTCATGGAAATGGCAGAAATTGGTGTTGTTTCCAGTTATCTATGAACATCTCCTTCCTGGCTGGCTGAACTATTTATTGCATGAGCAGCTGCTGAAAGCCGAGTAAGGAAGAGGCTGAAATTTGTTTCTTATATAAATGGGAGTGGTTTCATATCAGAAAATAAAGAGTAACTTCAGCACATGTGTCGGGCTTACATTCTCCAGAAGCACTTGTTGCTGCACAGTCCAACCTTGTTCCTTACCAGGAATTGTAACTTTTGTTGCCTGATAAATTCTTTGCCTCAAAGAGGATAAATCCCATTTATCTCCAGCTCCAGAGAGATAATAGTGCAATTGTTCCTTCACACCAGGAGATGTGCTCCCTGGAAATTCTCTTCTGAGTTTGATAATATTTTCTCCAAGATCTTCCTTCTGTAGAATAAGAAGAAATTTAATTGAAATGTGTTTCCAGAGACAAGCCCTTAAGAATAAAACTAATTAAAAAAACCCACCATAAATATTGTAAGGAGGAGAAAATCTAAATTTCAGAGGTGATCTAAAGCTGAGTCAGAATCCAGCCAGAGTTAAGGATCTGGTCTCTTCTGGTTGATCAGCACAAAGGCTGAACCTTTGCAGAATAAAGCCACATTTAAAAGATGTAATGAGGAAAAGAAAGGAATCTCTAATGGTGAAGAAAGCAACACATTCTGAGATTTTAAAAAATGCTGTCTGAAGCCTTTAAAGATAAGAGTGAAATACATAAAAGCATCCATGGCTTCCTCAGACAGGTTAGTGTTAGTTGTTACTCTCAGCTCAAGGTGCAGTTGACAGCTCTCTCTCACTTACATTGACAGAATTATGTTTGGAAAGCCCAATATTCCTGTCCAGATTGTTCTTGCTAGGTGTTTGACAGCAGCCTGCCCAAGTGGCATCCAATTAATTGTTAATGTCCCCATTTCAGCTGAATGGGGAAGTGCCTACATGACAAGGAAGAACATCACTGGGAAGACTCCAGGGAGACACCAGAGGATTTGCTGAGAGGAGCGATGGATTCAATGTCTGCAGCCAGTCCAGCACTTAACCTCTTCATCCACAGCAACTGGTGGGTTACTCAGCTTCCATTTACTGTTGCCCTTCCAGGAGGAGTGTGGACAGAGCAGGGAGCAGAGCACTCTTGGCTGGAAGTCCTAGCTCTTTCTGCAGCAAAGATAAGCCCTTGGATGGAAATTCTTCGAAGGGATGAGGATGGGCAGACTGTCACTATGGGTATCTTGGAGCAGGCAATCAGTCCTCCCTTTAACAAACAGAGATACAAGATGGTCAGAGAAGAACATGCTTCTTAAATGTGTTGGAAAAAAGAGGCTGGGACATCTGTCATCCCTGATCCACAAAGCGATGGAGGTTCCTGAAGAAGCAGCAACACCTGCACAGCCAAACAGGAGCAACTCTGCTGGTCCCACCCTGCAGCTTGTGATCTAAACTATAACTAATGCGTGTAAAGGCCCTGACAAAAAAGAGCTTACACATAATCCCTTTTCTTAGGCCTTTGATTTTACTGGAACATGCACAGCAGTAAAATTCATATAGTTAATGGGAAAGCCATGTCCTGGCCTGACCCTGCCACAGAAAACAACAAAACAAAAGGGCAGGCTGGGGAGGATCCGTGGAGATTTGGGGTCATGTTCGGGGAGGATCCATGATTCAGCATGTCTGTTTACTAAATCTCCTCTAATTTGTCACATAATGAAGGAGTGGGACAAACACCTGCAGCTGCAGGCTGCTGTTTCATTGTGAAAAGGTACGACCGGGACAGTGACGAGCATCTGAGGAATAAATGAGTTTCAATTAGGACAGTAGGTCAGAAAGAGCAAGATGATTCATATCCAGGATGTCCTCCAACCCTCCACAATAGCACTCAGCAATTCTGTTCAGCTTTGCTCCTTCAAAATGCCCACAAACACCCTGTCCTTTCCGTGGCACTGGCAGGTAACAGGCAGAGAGCTTGGGTGGGCACTGAGACCTACTGATTCCTGGAATAACTGAGATCAGCTGGGAAAAAATTGCCTTCCACAGCAACAGGAAGGAATGAGACAGCTCTGCCCTAGTCACAGCATGCCACTGTTCGTTTAGAAATCAGGGGACATAAAGATTCACACCCCAAAATTAATAAATAAGGTACCCAGTATTAATAGTCTATTTTAAGGAGCTGTCTGCCTGCAGTTTTCCCAGGAGTAAGGAACAGGTCATCACAGATGGGGTTTAGGAGTGCTTGGCTCCTATGTTAGCACCCCAACAATGCCTCTGCTCAGCTGTGTAAATCATATTTTACTTGCTTGACTATGAGTTGCTGGGCAGTGGGATGTAATTTTCCATGCCTGCTGTTGGCACTGGGTTTTACCTTGACTTGTATCTGACAGTGCCAGCTCTGTCAACATTGTTTCGCCTCTTGGAAAATAATAATTAAGAAGCCTGGATGATAGGCATATATTAGTACCCAAGAATTCATGGCCAGCTTCACTTTAACCTAGTCACCGTAGTTTACTACTCTGCCACAAAATGTCTTTTCCAGGTTTACCTGAAGAGTGGGATGTAAGAAAACCTCAGGGGTGCCAGACATACACTGGATTGACTTTGATCTCTCTGAAGACAAATCTTTTAAAGTTTAGATCAAGGAACCTTTTAATGAAACAAAGAAATTGTGCCACTTATATCAGTTCCAGATATAAACAAGTCTGCTAGAAATAAACAGGAGCAAGGCAAAAAGGAGACAGCCATGCTCTGCAATGTCAGCCCAAAGTGACTGATGGATGATGATACGACTGGCTGAGAAAAAAAGTCAAAAAGTCTTGCTGCCATCCATCTGGCAAATCTTCCAAAGGATATTGCTGTACAATGGCACTGAATTGGTACCTGCTTTGCATCTCCTGCTGTCAAGGAAGGCTATTCACTCCTTTAATGAAGTGAGGATTTTGTGGTCTCTGCTAGGACTCTCACCTTAGGGACTCATTGTAGCCTTCCCCACAGCCAGTTCTCTGTTCCCTCCCCCCCAATCTGCCAGGGATGTGGAATCTTATCCCAGGATCCTTTAGGATGGAAAAGATCTATAAGATTAAGTCCAGCTATAAACCAGCACTGCCAAGCCCACCATTAAACCATGTCCCCAAATGTTCCATTAAACCATGTTCCCCTGCAAGTTTTTTAGATACCTACAGGGATGGTGACTCCATCACTGTCCTGGGCAGCCTGCTCCAATTCTTGGCAGCCCTTTTGGTGAAGAAATTTTTCCTAATATCATCATAGGATCATGGAATGGTTGGGGTTGGAAGGGACCTCTGGAGATGCTTGATCCAGTCCCCTGCTAATGCTGGCTTACCCAGAATAGGCCGCACAAAGGAAAAATGCTTTTTTAAAAGATCTTCCCATAGTAAAGATGCTTTTGGACATTTAGGGCATCACTAAAATGCAGAGCACACCTGACTCCATCCAGGCTACTCCAGACCCTCTACCTGTTCACAGCTCAGGCTTCTGTTCCCTTGTCCTGCAGGGGAGGCAGAAGTTCACAGCACCAGGATTTGTAGCACATCCATACTCTTGCTCCAGAAGCATCATTACTTCATGCTTGGAGCTGAAGAGCCACATTTCATACTTCTGAACAGTATAATGCTTATTTTCATAACCCAGTCATTTGGACTCTGTACCACAGAAGGAGTAAATATCACCACTGGCCATTTCCTAATGCATGAGGTAACAATGTCACTTCAAAACACACAAAAATTTTTCCATGAAAACAAAAAATCTCTAAAGAGCAGACTGCCTGGATTAATATTAATGACTTTTTTTCCCCCATTTCTTCAGCTCCTCCCATGTGATCCACAATCAACTGTAACTGAGTTCATGACCCTCCTGAATTGTGATGAAGCACAATGGCTTGAGACCATGTAACTGCACATGGATAGCTCTGACTGAGGAGCAGCTGCTTACCTGGTGACCAGACACTTCTGGGTTTTAACATGGGCCCACTAAAAGCTGTTTTCAGCCTAAGAGATCTTTGATACTGAAACTAGAGTTAACCTGGATGGTGAGCAGAGGAGGTCATGTGCTCTGAGAAATAAATCAAGGGAGAAGGGGTTGGGAGAATAGTGGGAAGATAACAAAGGAGAGGGACTCTTTAGGGAGAGGAATTAATTAGGAAACATGCAGTGATGGAAAAAGGAATACAGGAAAAACTGATGTTGCATCTCCCCCTCTCTCCCTATCAGGTCCCTGTCCCCACTCAAGTGCCAGCCACATTTGTAATTTGTAATTTTCAGCCTTCTTAGATAGATGGGGCTAAGAAGCAAAAGCTGTCTCAAAGCAGCTACTCTCACCTTTGCTACTGCCAATTTTAGTAATTTTTAGTCAATTTGGTTTGGTTGTTAATAAGGACTTGCTTCTAATTTCACCATGTGCAGCAGTAACTTGTTAACAAGCTGCTCCAGGAGATCTTTATAGGACAGTGGAAACCAGGGAGAGGAAATAATTACAGCATTTCCACCTATGGTAGTCTGCTGCAGGGCAAGTATAAATAGATCCATAAGTGTTTGTTCGCTTAAAAGTTCAGCCCAACTGCTTTCTCAATTGCCAGCAGCAGAGTTAATGGATGGGTTTTTTTGTTAAAAAATGAGGGCAAAGATCATCTACTAAATATCACCCTCCCTTCTTTCTAGACTGCAAGTAGTATTTAAAAAGGTACAGAATTTTTACCAAAACCAGATGTTGGGTGTATAAAAGTACAGGCAGTTTTTCAAAGACATTTTTTGTTTGGAATGGGAAGGACAATTAGCTCCGAAAACTCAATTCAGCTTCAGAACAGAGAAACTTAATGGGGAAAATAAGAAGGAATTTACATTTCATTTACTTGGTGCATCCAAAAAGCTCTGGACTGGTGTATGCAAAGAGTAACTCCCTTTGGAGCAGCACCACAAGCTTTGAAAAAGCAGTTGCTAAAGTGTCTGAAAGCACCCTGTTTCTTATCCTCTGCTCTCTGAGGAGTGATAACAACACAATGCCCAGATGGGATGGAATGGGGGTCTCAGCAGGTTATGGGGACATTGATCTGTGAGCTGGGCAGTGGGACACTTGCATCCAGTTTGAGCATCCCAGAAATAACCTACCTGACTCAAAGAAGCTTTGGAAACCTCTCCTCAGGGCCCAGCACACCTTGGTGCAGGAGGAAGAGCCCAGTGTGGGTGGCCTGGACCTCTCTCCAGGAGCAGCCCTCCCACAGCTCCATCTACTCATGGCTGCAACCCAAATCCCTGCCAACATTGATTTTTCCCTGCACCAAATTGTTTAAATAAATACCCCCAGTGTGGACTCAAAGAAATGCAATAAACATTGTTCGTGTGGCTCCTTGGGAGCTCAGTTAATGGGCCGCCTGGAAGGACTTTCTAGGCAAATGTGCTGCTTCTGGCCACACACTGAAACCCACCTTGGACTCCATCAGCCCCTCAGTGTAATACCCTGCTTCTGCCTATTGTTCAAGCTTCAGGTACCACGTTTAGCCAAACAATAGCTAAGAAACAAAAGACATTTTAAGTGACTTGTGGCATCTGTTGAGCACCAGCTGCCCTTTTTGTGTTCTACCATGTCTTCTGTCCTGATGCTCTGTGCTCAGGTCTCCTGGGTCCCATCCAGCTGCAAAAGCCCAAAGCTACAGTGAGAGGAACAATCTAATCTGGTAGGAAAATAAAACAGCTGATGACTCATAAAAGCAAAACGGACAGCTATTGGAAAAGGAAAATATCAGAACAGATTCAGATGTGAGTACTAGCACAGGAGTGCCTGGAAAAGTAGCAAGTCCTGCAGCATTTTTCCACTTGAGCCCCCAGTCAGCTTCAGTGGAGCCAGGACTCAAACCTGTGGTTCCAGGTAGCCTTAGTAAAGCTTGGATCTGAATTAAACCACTCTTCTGCATGCCTGGGGATGTGGTGGCATGTGGCAGCCTTGGCTGCTTCAGGCTGCCCTGGAGCTGAAGAATCTGAAGGAACATGTTCATGAGTGATGGCCCAAAGCAGTGGGACAGAGTTGTGTGCAGCCACAGGAGCTGGGGCTCTGCTGGAGTCTGAGATAGCCTGAGGGGGAAGGAGCTGTTTGCAGGTTTCCCATGGGGAGCTGAATCCAAAATCAACTCTTTTGAAGGCAGCAAGATCAGCACAAGACCCTGGGCAGCACAGGGATGCATGGGTGGCTCTAGGAGAGGAGGACGGCAGGCTGAGTTCACTCACCTGAACGCCCACCTTCCCCTGGAGGAGCAGCAGGTGGAGTCAGTGGCTGCTCTTCAGGGGAAGAGGGACCCCACACTGGCTCAGACATCCCTGTGATGGGGAGGGGTGGGGAATAATCCCTGGGACTGATGGGACCCCCTCATAGCCCAGCACTTGGGGCTGTTACCTCTGTGGTCCCTTCTCTCTCTCCAAGGCAGTGTAACGAGGCCAGTGCAAATCTGAAGAGAGATTTCCTTTACTCGAGGATTTCTATTCAAAGTTACAGCTATTGACAGATTTTTTTCTACTGCTACACTTGGTGGAAGCTGATAGTATTTATTAAGTTGATCCCAGGCACCAGAGCTGGATACACAGGCAATCACTGGAGCCTGTTGTGTTTGCATGAATGTACTAATCCTGCCTCTGCTTCCTGAATGCACAAAGTGATGTATAGGACCATTCAGCTCCCAGAGACTTGGAGATGGCTGCAGAGGGTGAGACAATGTTTTTAATATGGAGAACTCCAAGGCAAGCTATTTTGGTGCCTCAGGATCATTAACATTTTTGAATGTCTGAGAAGCTGCTAACATTTATAAGACATTACAACCAAGATTTATTCTCCCAAATGGAGAAAGAGCTCCTATTTTTCACACACACTCTACATATTGATAATTTTCTCATTTTCTGATGACAGGGATTTTTATCTCCACTGAGACAAGATGACTGATAGATGGAGATAAGAATTTCTCATAAAGAGAAGCAATGCATTTTTACACAGCTGAGGCTGGAAGAAAGCAATAATTGTCTTAGTACATAGGTACAGCCCTCCAGAATGGCTGATTATTTACTTCAAGGCTCAGTCATCACTGACCAGAATGCCAGGCACGTCTTCCCAAACCAAGATGTGAGCTGAGATCAGTGCAAACAAACCCTCACCCCTCTGCCCACCTGCTGTGCTGCTGTTGGGTGGTGAAGGCTGGTCCTGGGTGGAGATGCCAGCCTGGGATACCCCGACCATGGTGGGTCAGACCAGCAGAGATTCACCAGCACCTCTGTCATGGTGAGCCCCACAGTGAGCCACAGAGGTGGCACTTGGCATAGGCTGAGTTCAGTTTTAGGGTCATTCTCAGCAAGTTCTGGGGTGCTTGGAGAGCCCCTGGAACTTGAGGCAGGAGTTAGAGCTGCCACTGCAGAACTCATCTGGGATCTGCCTAAAAAAATGACAACAAAAACCATGCAAACCCCCTCAAAACAACAACAATAATAATAAAAAGAAAAATTCAAACAAACAAACAAACAAACCCCCCACTAAACCCCCAAGAGAAAGCCAGAGAAACTGCTTCCAGCTCTTGGGCCAGGACAAAGCCTTGGAGCAGCAGGAGAGCAGGAGTACCCATTCTCAGCATCACCACCACTTCTGTCCCCCTAGAGCAGCTGAGCAGCTTTGCTTCCTGCAGGAATCCTCTGGAACTGTGAGACTTTTCCCATGCTAGACCACATCTTGCAGGGTTGTAGCTGTTGTACTGGTACACACAAGCCAAAATTTACACCCCTTTACCTGCTTTCCTCCCAGCCCTCTCTTACACCTGTTCTCCCCTCTCACTATCTGCATATTCTGTTCTTTTCTGCTGTTCCTAATAGCTTCCATCTATGCCAAGTCTCATCCTACTCAGCTCTCTTTAAACCTCAGACCTTGGGCAGAGCTTTTCTGCATTGATTTCCCAGCCAGCTTTTGTCTCTTTGACATCTAGGTTCTCTTTGTTTGTGCTTTTCTCTCTGGATCTGGGAATTATTCTGCTTCAGTTGGTGCATGGATACAGGCCCTGATATTTTGTTGAACTCTGTGGGATCTCTTCTGCTTAGCAGGTGCAGTGGTGGGTATGACTGCTCCTGGCACCAGCAGCACCCACGGTGTTGGAAAGGCCTTGAGAGGCTAATGTGTATCTCAAGCAGTAGGAAGCTTATCTTGTGCTAGACATTGGCTTGAGAGAGACATTATCCCTGGCCAGCTCCAGAGAGACATTTTCCATGGCATCCCTGCCCAGGAATAGATCCTGACTTCATGTAACAGAGGAACTGATTGTACAAGAGTGTGCTGCTCACTGGAGGATGGCACGGCCAAAGTGAATGGCATGGGGTCACCACTGCATGTTTTGTTCTCTGATGCCTCAGATCAGGATCTTGATAAAAAGCTTCGGATCTGAGCAGCTCCTGCTGGCAGCAAGTGCTCCCCCTGGAGCACGACAGGTCCCAGGATATGTGTGCCAAGAGGATCTTTTATTTGGAAAACAAATGGTAATGCCTATTTATAAACCTCAGCTTAGAGTAAGGCAGGCCAGCAGGAAAAAATGCACCCATGGGTGAGTGAAGGTGCTTGGTGAGGAACAGGGCAGCCCCGAATTATGGGGCAGCAGTGAGCAAGTGACTTTGCCTTTTCTTTTTTGCCTCCTACTGATTTAGTCTGGAAGTATTTCAGTGGGCACTTTGTCCAGTTATATGGTGATAAAACCCTGGACTCAATAACTGAGATCTGCTATCTGGCATCAGAGCAATACAAATAACAATAAAACAAACAAAATAGAGGTGAGCCAGGCTGGTTTTCACTTGGAAAAAACATCAGTGATCCTTATTACTCACTAGCTCTCCTCTGGGGCCACCACTGAGGCTGAACTTGTAGGAAGGCTGTATTTTGCTCAGGTCCTTCTAAAAAAGGTTCTCCCTGGGGTTTTGGAGGGTTGATGGTTGCATATCCACATCAACAGGACCATTTATAAACAGCCTTTTTTCAGAGCAAAAGCCTTTTAGCATCTGACCCCCATGGAACCACGAGGCTGAAGAAACAGCACAGCATGGAGAGGCCACAGCCCATGATGGGACAGACAATCCTTGAGGCCTTGGTTTTCATCTGGGGGAAAGAAACAGAGGAGAGAGCCTGGAGGAGGCCCTCAGGCTGGCTGAGGTCACCCATGGGATCCTGAGCCATGGCTCTGTCATGCCACCCAGAGTATCATCACAGCATCCCTGATGCATCCAAAACACAGAGAAATGGCCAAGTCCAGCTGGAGGTTGATTCCTGCTATTGAGATTTTTATTTATTAATTTGTAGCTCACTTGCTTTCTTTTGGCACCATTTTTCTCTGCAAGTGAAAAATTTCCCCTGAATCACTACGTGTTATTTCCACTTGTCAAGATAAAGGTTAGTGAAATACCAGTAACTGCATCACAAATCCAGCTCCATATCTATCCAGGATTTTATATGGCAAGTTATACTGCACAGCCTGTTCCTAGAAAAGGCTGTGATTAAAAAAACTAAAACTGTCAGAGGTCAAGAAATTCATAGTTAGAGCAGCATAGCCTCTGCCCTTCTCTCCTCACATCTTGCCTGCAGGACAAGGAATAAAAAACCTCCTGGAACTGGCACAAACAAGTGTGGGACGAGATTTCCTCCAGCACACAAGATTCTGCAGGACTGTGGTATTTAAAGAGCATTTTAGTTTGCAAATGTTTCCTGCATCTGGAAAATGGTTATTTGTATATTTATACACTACATAAATAATATATAAAATACACAAATACCATAGAATCATAGAGTATCTTGAGTTGGAAAAGACCATCAAGTCCTATAAATAGATACAGAATTTAGAAGCAACATGATGCTATAATTGACATATATCTTTCTTCAAATAGATTTGCACCAGAGGCACAAGGAGAATTTGACACACTTGCTGCAAAGAGGTTTTCATGCCCTGAACGTGAAACCACCAGGACTGGCTGAAGGACACTCTGTGCCCAGGGACTGGGGAGCTGAGACCTGAAATGGGTGAGCTATTTTACTGCTATTTTACTGCTGCAAACGCCTCTTCAAGATGTGCTGGCACAGCCTCACTCCCCAAGTTAAACCCTTGGAAGCACAGAAGATGCCCCTGTCCAGCAGCAGTTGGGGCACGTGAAGTTTCAGGAAGGAAGGGAGGAGCTGCTTTGTTTTCTTCCTAGGGAAGGCCAGCAATGGGGTGAGTGCTGAGAACTGCCATTTGGGGTGAGTCAGGAGATTGGCATGGGGTGGTTTGCATTAATACTGGCTTGAACACATGCCAGAGAGGATTTCCAAAATTCACAGCCAGTTATTTCTCGTCATAGAGATCCTATAGCCTGTTCTTCCACTCTGAGGCATGCAATCAAAAGCCTGCAGAAATTATTCTGAGAAGGTTTGTTTGTTCTGTAAATATATATTTAAAATCTTGAATAAAGATGACTAAGTTTGAAGAAAAAAACAAAACAATAACATCTAACAGAGCAATCCGTCTTACAGAGAATCTTATCCCTCCCTTGGAAGTGGATTGAAAAGCATTGTTATAAAATCCCAGTGCAGATTTTATTATGGGCTAAATCAAAATGCTTTGGAGTTTTTGGAATTCAGATCTGAAGTTCAATGTTTCAGCCCATATGCTCCATCTAAAAGTAAGATAAATGAAAGGATGTGCTTTTTCTTCCTTTTGATATGCAAAGATTTAGATGAAATGCTTACTTTCCAATTTGCTTTTTCAATAGAATTTCACTAGAGATCCTACCAACATTAAATACTCTGTGAAGCCTCAGGAGCTCCTGAGATGATGGATGACATCAAGAGCCAAAAGAACATGTACAAAGCATCTGCAGAAAGAGATCCTTAATGACTGTGTGAAGTCTGTTGATTTGTTGCCAGGTACTTAACTTAAAGCTTGTGTTGTTGTATATCTAACTTTAATGAACCAGTTGCAGAAAGGAAATCTTAAAAAATTCAGTCCTGTCCCTTCAGCTGCAGTGTGAGCAATAACACACTTCGCTGGATACTCTCAGCAGGTCTCTCATTAAAACAGTAGCATCAGATGAGATCTGATTTTCCTAATATTTGTAGACTACAATGCAAAACTGAAAATATTTGAGATTTTATGTATTTCTGAAGAATAGAGTTTAAAAAAACAGCAAAACAATTAATTTTAATTTTTCTGTATTTTACTACTGAAATTTCATATCAATAATAATATTTTTATTTCTTAAAAAATTGGCCACTAGATGACTTTAATTGTTATGGCCATGCTTAATTTTTGGTATCAAATTCTTATCTTAAAAAAATTCTGTTCTTTCTTTTTGTTAATCTTATATTCTTCAGCACATGCTCTCACTCTCCACGGCAGTGTTTGCAACAATGGGATCCTCACTTTGGAAATTTCAGCTGCTTATAGGAAGTTTAGGTGTTCAAAATGGCCACTGCAACGGGCTTGTATAACATCTAAGGCACAGAAATCCACCATAATTTTGAAGAATAAAGTGGGAATTCATTTTTCATTATTGGAAGAAATACTCTGTTTTCTGCTATTACAAGGAATGATCAAAGACTCGGAGCCCTTTGGAAAGAGTTTCCAATAGTGTGGCATTTAATGCGAGCAATTTGTGATTACTGTTGGAGCACAAAAACATTGTAAATCTGATGAAGGAGAGCCCAGAAGGCAGGATTGAGCATCTCCCGTGTCCTAGATTCAGCAGAGGAACTGATGTGAAAAAGAAGCAGGATCTGCTGGATGGAAAGCTCAAACGATGTATCACAGGAAATACAATTTCCCTGCTGTTTGCACAGGCTCTAGTCCAGAAGCAGTAGTGCATCTGGGTAGTGGATTTGCAAAATGTTTGCTGGCTGTGGTTCCTCCTCCAGGTTTTCAGAAGATCCACCCAAAGGGAACAGGCTCAGGTGCAGAGGCTTCCCCCATTCAGCCAGCAAGCAGGGCACCAATGCCTCCTTTGAACAGAAATGCCTGAATATAAACATCTACATATCTTTGGCAGCTCTTGACTACAAGATATGAAAAGGGAATTGCCTGTTTTCTGTTTTAAGCCAAACACAAGTTTTAAGCAGCACACAGAGACATTTGTAGGAATTCTCCACCAAGCATAAGCCAGTACAGAATCAACAAGGCAGACCCTTGGGCACGGTGCATGGTCCTCCCAGCAGGACATAAATCTGCCCTTAATGGGCATGACTTCATTTCCATTGAGGAGTTTGCCCACCAGTTCAGCACTGCTCCAAAGGGGTTATCAGGGGCCAGCAGGTTTCATAAGACTTAAGTGCAACTTAATTGTCTTTGAAAGGATTTTTTCAGCTGGAGCAAGAGCAGCTTGGTCAGGGCAGTGCCTGTGGCTCACCTAAAAACTCCCCCAGCACAGCACTGAGCTCTGTGGGTCATGTGGAAGAGAAGAGAGAGCACCTCTGGGAAAAGAAGTGCTGTGATAAGATTTGATTCAGAGAATTTCAGGACTTCTGTAGTGTAACGGTTTAGTATCAGCCAAGCAGATAATTTCACTTATTGCTCTCTCTTCCAAAAATACCACACTGAGGTGCTTGGAGGGCCCAGCTGCAGTCAGACCAGAGCATCCCCCTGCTCTACCTGTATTTCTTCCTAATTCAGAAGAACTGAGCATTCTCTTTCTGTGTAGGAACACAGATTCATGCCAGCACGTGAGTCCCATGTGCTGTGGGTTTGTCACACAGAGGCTGAGCACAGCCCCTATCCCTCCATATCAGCTCCAGACATTGTCCACAGCCCTACATTGACTCACCTGTCTTATCATTTTGGGTGTGGGGTCTGGTTTGCCTTCAGTCTTTTCCTGGCACATGCAAATCCAGGCTACCTGGGTATTCTAATCAAGTTCATTGTCATGCTAGCTGAACACCTTATAAAGGGATATTGATCAAGAAAGAATAATGAGCCTTCAAATTCCCCTAAGCTGTAAGGACAAAGTGCTCAAGTAAAACATCCCTCATTCTAAATGGGTCCTTACTTCTAAGTCTTCTGCAGACTCAAAACAAGGTTAAGTAAACACTGGGACAAATGGATGAAGCTAAGTACTCCTCAGAAAGATGGACATCTGTTTTACCCTCTTCCTTTCAAAGCAATTCATGCCATCATCCCATGAAACAATCTGAATAAGTCCCTGGAACGCAAGACATTTCTTTGAGACCCTCTGACTCATTGACTTTTCTCTCTTTCTGTCCACAGTGAATCTTGCTGAACAGGTTGAACCAAAATTATCTTCTTGCAAACATTCTGTAAATAGATCAATGCCATATCCTGTATCAAACACTCCCTACCTGGAGCCCATTGAATAAATGGATGTCTTTGCTATGAAATTATAAACCAGAACTTCATGTGGCATCATACCCATACAGATTTGAAATAATTTAGCTTTCAGCAGGGTTTTCAGCATTTCAATAAGAGCAGTATAAATAGCTCAGCATTGCAATAGTATAAATGTCTCAGCATTGCAAAGGACAGGGATTAAGGTCAGCAGCCACAGTGCGGTGGTTGGCCTTTGAAGACTGGAGCAGACTACAAAAGGTGCAGGGTACCTGGGGCTCCCATTCAACTGTGGATGCCTTGTATTACTTGATTATCACTCTGGAGGAATTTGAACAAGAAGCAGATGTGTGGAAACTTGCAAGATACTTTTGAATAACAGGAGGTCTCTTGCAGAGAGGACAAGGCTGGTTCAAGACCACAGCACCTGATCCTGCGTGGAGCAAAGTTCCCTCCTTGCTCCATGTTGTCCTGGTGGAGCACAGCTCACCCACCCAGAGGAAACCTCACACCACAGGGGTTTGCTGGGTAAAAAACAAGTCACCCCTGAGATATCAGCACTGGAGAGAAACAGTGGAAGAGCTGCAATGGGTGTTCCTCACCTCATGTGACTCACCTCAAGAAGATGTGTGGGTTTGGGTATTTTTAAAGCTGACAGGGGGCAGGTTAAATTAGGTAAAAAGAAGAAATTCTTCCCAGTGAGGCTGGTAGTTTCCTGGCATGGATTGCCCAGAGAAGCTGTGGCTGCCCCGTCCCTGGAAGTATCCCAGGCCAGCTTGGATGAGGCTTGGAGTAACCTGGTCTGGTGGAAGGTGTTCCTGCCCATGGCAGGGGATTGGAACTGGATGAGTGTTAAAGGTTCTTCCCAGCCCCAGCTATTCTATGAGTCTGTTTGGGAGAGTGACACACATAAGACACTGAAATACATTCAGGTACCCCAGAGAGTCATCTGAATTGTGCTGGAGATATACAGCTCAGAGTCCAAGCTGCAGGAAACCATGAGGGCTGAGAGCAACCCGAGCAGCCCTGGTGGGTCAGATGGCTGCTGGCTTTCTCAGGCTGAGCAGCACTCACTCCAGAGCCAGATCCCCCACAGCCAGGGGAAGGCTCTGGACAACAAACCTGGCATCAGATGGGCCTTGGGGTGAGTCACACGCTCTCTGAGAAGGGACTCTGTCACCTTCATTAGTCTTATCTGGGAATTGCTCTGAAACAAAGCATTTTGTGAGCCTGAACAAAAACACTGGGGAGCGCTCGGCAGCGAATTCTTTCACATGCTGCCTTTTTGTTTTCTGTGATTTCCAGCGTTTCTGGCAAAAACATTTCCTCTGACTGTTTTCCTTCTAGAAACAGTCTTCTTCCAGACAGGGCTACTCTGCTGATATTTAGCAGGGTAGACACAGGGCTATTTAAAACACAGAGCTGGAACATTAGCAAAACACTTGTCTCATTCCAAGACAAGCAGGGAAGGGGAGGGTGCACATTGCCGAGTGCAACCTTGCTTGTCCCTGGGAGGTTTGTGCCTGCATCATGCCGATAATGTGCTGAATTTAAGGCTTCTGGGGATGAAGTATGTGGCAAAATCTGACAAGAGTTTTTAGAAGCTGCTAGTTCACAGCCTTGAGCATTTATGATTTTTGGCTGCCAGTTCTCACACACATTGCGGTCAGCAGTTTAATTATTTACCATGCTCTGTACAGTACTGTTCAAGCAGCAACCATCAAATTTGACATTTTGATATTGTGAGGGTAATTGGGTAATTTTTTTTTTCTTCCCCTCCCACCAGCTCCAACCCCCTATTCTGCTGGGAGATGCAGAGTCATAGCTCTGCTGGCTTGGCTTCCTGCCACCTCACTGCTCCTTTAAAATCCCATACCTCCCATTGAAGGAACTCAGTGTCCTGTTCACCAGGAGGACGTCAATGTTTCTATGGAAACTCTTCCCAAAGATTCTTGCTCCACGCTGCTGCTGCTGCGTATTGTATGACTGGCTTTGTATACTGCAATTCATTATCCAGGCTGTGACGAAAAGGGAGCAGCTTTCTGCCCAATGGGAAAAAACATTAAATGAAAAAAAACAAACCCAAAACACTAACCCCCTCGCTCCACCACCCTAATATTAATAAAATAAGCCACTAAAACTAAAGGTGTTGAAGTTGTTTAGCATTTGAGCTATGAATGGAATCTGCTCGCCTGTGCTCCTTGCAGTGAAAAATACCCTTTCCTGAATAATTAACTCAGCTGAAGAAGCTTATAAATTCTTTGTAAGGTCCCTTTTCCTTCCGAGTAGCATGAAGAAAATTTTCCACCCCTCACAATTACAATTCTGATGATGGATGAGTGTCACGTAGGTAACAAATGTGCCTGCGCAGGAACCCTATGCATGAACTGTGTGGAGAGCAGGGAAAGCTCAAACCCAGGCTCAGATTTTGCATTTGAATTAATGTCTGCAAAGGGGATGCAGAATTAATAGGCTGAAGGACAATTCACATTAATTTCTCATTTGCCTCAATAACAGGAAGTCTCTGGGACCAGTGGAGAACGTGGTGACAATGTTTACATGCATGTCCCTTACTAATGATGTCCAAGGGTGGCCAGATTACCTCTGCAGATGAGCTCCAGGTACTACATATTTAACAGGTAAAATGGTATAGATTTTGTTCCCACCTCTATCACAGATTTGCTGTTATTTTGTATTCAGGCATCACTGTTAACTTTGAAAACAGGAATTTCTGGGTGCTGCTCTGAAGGAGCCTGATTTTCTTGACTTCCACTGGATCACTGATAGGCTCTAGGCACCTCAGAAAATCAGATTTCAGGTGTCCCAAAGCATGTACTTCAAACCCAAGGTACTCAACTCACAAGACATGCAGAAAGACAGCTCCTTAACCCAGAAGAACTTTGAGATCTGAAGAAAAACATTACACTCTTCTACTATGCTGGGAACCAGCACTGAGTAAAAACCTGAGTAAAATGAAGATGAGAGGAGACAAGTATTTTATTTTTAAACCTTATGAATTTCTGAGTAGTTCTGCTTTGTCGCTTTCCTAGAGAGGAAGATCAGAATTTGAAACTCTGCTCCCTCCCTGATACCACGCTAAAGACTTGTATTACCATTAATTGATGTTTCTGAGTGCATTCGCATTGATTTACTCCAGCCGTGCTCTTTATGCAGGGAACATTCTATTCTCAGAGCATAATCTAGACCCATATGAACAATATAGATGTTTCCTGATAACATAATTTAGAAAGAGGAGACATAATTACTGCCTGTGCTGAATGCACAGCATCTCTCTGCTTGCCAGAGTGCTGCAAACCCATGACCCCTTTCAGAATCCATACAGGGAGAAAAGTCCCAAATCCTTCAATGTGGTTCTCATTTTGCCATTTCCATCTTATTAAATATGCTGGTCCTTGTGCCTTTGATTTTAACTTCCTAAGGATAGCTCATGCTGAAATTATTTAGAAGGCACTCAGAGGCTCTTAGATGAAATTCAGGGATCATTCCTGCGGAAATGTGTCTGTTTGTGGGATGTGGGACAGCAGCAACTTGGGCATCTGCTGAGGAAAAATGGGGAGGGGACCCAGCAAGTTCTCCCTCAGGTTCTTTTAAGAAGTGCAACAAAACAGGTTCTTGTTGTTAAGGATTTCCCTTAAATACTTGAAGAGGAGATTGGAATTCATTTGACCTGCTCCAAAACCAGTTGGCTTAGCTGTGCATACTCCAGTTGCTGTGATTTAAAATGAGTAGTTGGAGTGCTTTGGTCTTCTAAATCATCCCACAAACACTGTGCTTCACTGTCTTCTCTCTGATGGAAGGATATCCAGGGTGAGACATTGCAATTCAAATTTTCATCTCTAGGGTCAAATCTGTTTCAGTTCAGTAATGCCTAGAAAGCCCTGCCATGCAGCAGGGTTTGATGTGAAATAAGCACAGCTCCCTCCATGGGACAGTAATTTGAGATCCACAGCACAGAAAAATGACCACTGTAATTGCTCCCTGCATCAGAAAAAAATATAAAATAATAAATAAATAAAAATCCATGACTGAATTGGCCCTGGAGACTGAGTCACTCTGATTTAGAGAGTGGTCCCTCCTGAATACTTTTCCACATTGCAAAGCCACCACATAATGGAACAATTCAGTTCCTCTGACAGCCCTGGCTAAAATAGCCCTAGAGCAAAATAGGGAAGGTGTTGTAGGTCACTGCTGAGGTGCTTGGCAGGGTTGGCAATGAGAACCATGCCCACACTAAGAGTTTTTCCAACTATTTCAGTGAGACTAGACTTAGCTTGCAAGCCTGATTCAACAGTTCAGAGAGAAGCTGTTTTGTATTTTAGATTTGTGTATCAGCTTCTCCCTGTGTTCTGTAGCAGCAGCTTCCCTGTTTTCATCCATGGTTAATGGTCAGGTACAGGCTGCCTCTGGGACCCACTGTCAGAGGAGAGGGCCCAATTCTCCACCCTGTTTCTTTCCTAGGATCTGACAGAGCCTGAATTTTGCCTTGTGATCCTGGCTAAAGTTCTGCTACTCATAAAAATAATTTACTTCTTTAAACTCTTTAAGCATGGCCCTCAATAGATCTTAAGAACAAGAAATACCCATTGTAATTGTTTATCATTACCTGAATTGGACATGAGGAGAGCAAGAGTTGAGTTCAACGACTGTTGGGATTAAGAGAGAACAAGGAGACTGCCTTTAAGGAAAATAACAGCAACCAAACACATACTGAGCAAGCACAAAGCACAATCAAAGAGGGGCCAGTTGACAAAAATGGGGCTATATATCACTGGTATTTAGCATTAATCTTTTTGTCTTTATCTTGCTATGCATCCTCCCAAATCTCATGTCTGGTGGGACTGGACAACCCAGGGGCTTTGATTTAAAACCAGTGCAGGTTAATTCTGCAGAATGAACATGGGTGAGACTAAACCATATAGCTCATGACATAACAATGCCACTCTATTCATGATAAAAAACCAAACTAAAGTTCAATTTGTTCAAAAAAAAGCACCATTTCTAAGGCAGATGAGCAGCCAAATCAGTGACTGAGTGTGGACATGATTTTCTGAGCCTGAGAGATTTTTCAGCCTGTCAGTGGCTGATCTGTTTCCCAAGAGAAATTCTTTTGGGAAACTTTTCTCTCTCAAGGACTGTTTTTTGTAAATAGGTTTTGGTTCTCAAAACAATGTTGTACAGATGTTCTGGATGTGTTTTTCTCTTGTTCCACCAATGGGACCAGAAAGATGTTGTTCCTTTTACCAATCAGATTAACCTGTATCAGAACACCTTATAAAAGGGGCTGAAAACCCCAAATAAAGGCTTCTGCCTCCCTAGGATGAAAACCTCAGCTGTTGTGATTGAACCCATGCTTCTATCTTGTGTCCTCTAGCAACAACTGAGAGGAACTAGAGGTGAAAGTTGAGAAAAAGAGATATTAATACACTTACTTTTAAACATTTTGGTTTCAAGTCACAGGAAAACCATTCAACATGTGTCCTGGGGTTTCTTTAAACAGGGAAAGAAGATTAAAATACTAATCTCTGCTGATTTCCCTGTGCAGCAGCAAAAATGAGCATGCCTCAAAAGACTGACCTATGAGCAAAGATTAAGAACAGCTAAATTTGTATAGCTTGGCTAAGCAGCAACCACAAGGGACACACTGGCAGAGTGCAAAACCAGAGAAAATGGAGTATTATTTGGAAAGACAACAGAGTCAGGGGATGAAAACTAAAGAAAAATCAGGCAGAAAGGTAAAGTCCCTAAGACTCTGGCCTGTATTTAAAGGAAAGAAAGCCAGAGTACTCCAGGCATATAAGTACAAGAATGAACTGAAAGCTGGTGTGAGGATTGTTGGGTGCAACCAGTGACTTTAAGCACTTCTATTCCTGAGTTTCCAAAGAAAATCACCTTTAGAAAAGGGACAGCTCAGCTCATACTATAAATCATTTCTTCTCGAGCTCAGCACCCAGCAGCCACCAATCAGTTCTTAAAATCTTGAGTGAAAAATAAACCACTGTGCTCTGAGGGAACGGACAAGCTAATCTAATACATCTTTGTCATCTGTGGTTTCCATGACAGTTGCATAATCAGACATTTATGTAAGTAGAGGTTTCCTCCTTAAATAGCAGCCTATGATCTCATCTGCACCTACGGTATAACCCATTTGAATGGAAATTATATGCCAGTCATGTGTACAACTAATTTTTTAATGTTTCTCTCTTATTTTTATTTATTTAATGTGGCACATCAGCCTCTCACATGACTAACTCTTCTTGTTGTGGTCTTCTTGTGGTCCAGAAATAACAACAGTCCCCAGATCTGATTAATGGTTGGCCTCACCCTTGCTCAGCAATTCAGTGTGAAAAGTGATGGTGTATCCACAAAACCCCAGTGCAGCCTCCCAGGAACACAAAAGGGTTTGGATTGGAAGGGACCTTGGAGACCATCTAGTTCCAAACCACTGCCACGTCTAGGGACACCTTCCACCAAACCACGTTGCTCAGAGCCACATAGAAGGAGAGCTCCAGGGATTTGTCTTGGCCAATTTGGGATTTCTCAGGCTTGGAGGAAAGCTCCCAGGACAGCTCTACTGCTGCAGAAACTGCCTGGAGACTCTGAACTCATGCAGAGTACCATAGAGCAATGCTAAAATTATAGATCTCTTCCTGTATGCCATATTAATTGAAATTAAGGAAAGCAGACCCAGTCCATGATCTCACTCCTACTCCCATCTAAATTCATGTAACAAGAGTGAAAGCAAGCAAAAGTAACTGCAGTTAAATCTACATGCAGAAATTCTCAAAAACATCTAAAAATAAAAATAAAGATCAGCTACCTGGAAGGAGTGACTTTTATCTAAAAGCTGCAGACATCAGCAGTCTAGGGAGCTGATCCCAATAGGCAAATATTTTTTAAGATGGATGTTCAGAGATATCAGACACTCTTCAAAATCTGTCCAGAAACCATGTCCAGTGAGTTGATGCTGAAATGTAAGTGGTTCTATTTAGACGATCCTCTTAGTGCTTTTTTGCATCACTCTACATCATCCACTGTGCACAAAAATATGCCCCAAGCAAAGGAAAACAGGCAAGAACAGAAATCCAATCCAATCTGCCAGCCTTTGCAGCCTCAAATTTGCGGGACTCTCGCCAGCCTTTGGATGTTGTAGCACCTTTTCTCAAGGATCCCACTATTAGAACAAGTATATTATGCACTATTGTTCCCAGCATCAAACAATCAGCAAAAATCTCTCCTCTTGCTCTTCAGCCTGACCTCTCTTCTCCCACTGAAGCTGATTTAGTGACAAATACAGAGAAATAGAGGGGAAGGGGGTTTGCAAGTGATTGTCAATTAGATTTTGTGAGCCCAGCAGTATCTCAGGGAGGCTCCAATTTTCCCTGACCCCCCCTGCAGCTCCTATTAGCCTTGATAACCGCTTCTAATTTTATCCAGGACATTTGCCCAGAGAAGAAAGGGGGGGTGATGGGGTGTCTTTCACTGGTGCAGAGAAACTCCCACCTCCATGAAGCAAAGGTGGACTGGGTAATGATTTAATTACAGTGAGAATTCCTGCCCTGTCCAGCCAGGCTCTGACGCATGTTACGTAACTGGGCTGTTAATGCTTTTTATATGTTGG